ACAATTGTCATGATGTCGTTGTACCGTACAAGAAAGGGTGGCCATTGTCTTAAGGGCTGAGCCCGCATTCAATTTGATGAGCTATGCGGCTCAAATACTTATAACAAGGTAGCAAGTAACCCCTTAGTGAAGAAAAATCAGAAAGAAATCATAGGAAAGGCTCTATATAGAACCCCTTGCTTAATTGAGGTTGTTGCTCAAGGCGAAGAGAAGGTGCGGTCGCACGAGTTCTCACTTGTTGATATCAGCTGTTTTCCCTTATCACCTCACTCTCACCACTCGACGTGGAGAAGCAGCAGCGAAACAACCGCACCATCAGATAACCATTAGGAATGAGTGGAGGGCGGTGCCAATGATTGTAGGTTGGGCCAATGAGAAGAACGACGGCATCGTGGGCCTCCTCACTCGTTTTGCGAAAGTGGTGTAGTTGTTGCCTCTGCGGACCTGACTACCTGCTCACGAAGGGAGAGGAAAATCTCGACTGAACGCGGACGCTGCCTTTAAGCATAAATATCCCCTATGAAACACATCCACGCTAAAAGGGCAAAAGGTAAAGGGTACGATCGCTAGAGGTGGGCTGTTGTTGCTAGTGTCATTGGCGGAAGGGCTGCAGGCGTTTGGCCACACCCCATTCAGCCCGCACCAATAAAGTGAGCGATGACCACCGCAATCATGCCAACAGCAATCATGCCCACTGCCCTCAAAATGAAGTGCTCAGTCGTGCCCTTCCCATTTCCGCGATGTTGAATTTGGTTTCTGTTTACAGCGAGAAAAGGAAGCACATTTAGCACAACCGGTCAAAGGGACATTTTCAAGAAATATTTTGCACTTACAAGCTGTGGGTTGCGGTTCAACTACGAGTTGGGGGTGCTAAATAATTCATCAATAACGCGAAAAAAGTAAAAAAAAACATCCAAGAACGCCCTGATTGGGACCTCTTCCATAGTAGGCACTAGAAGAAGTGAGAGACTAGGTGTGCAGACGAGAGACCAGGCAAACAAGCGGCCACATAGCGCAGCAGCGCGACTTCAGTGTGCCAATTCGGAACCAGGTCATGCAACCAAGCCTTCCGTTCTGTGGAGACGGTGAACTGGTAACTGGACAACATGTTTGCACGGTCCTCATGAGCCGAAAGGCTCTATAAGCTTGCAGCCCTCTTCTTGTGCACTTTCGGGTCTTGTAAAGGGCACGTCCATGGCGACACCTTGAAAACGAGCAAAGGTGCCCAGTAATGCAAAAATAGTGAAAAAAAAACGGGGCGACAAGTAGGGAAACCACGGAATGGGGCTTTATTTTTCGCTGCACTGCGGCAGTGGACGAGCGAACGGCTGGGGCGGGCGCTGCTTTGGACGAGTCTACCGACTGAACCGTTTACTGCTGGCAAAAAGCCAGCAGTACGTTCTACGTCGCTCTACGTTACACTACATTACACGTAGGCACGGGCGGTCCACAACGGCACGTCCTCTGCTGTGATGCTATACGTCCAATGGTAGGCGGGCGGGCGAGGTGGGTGTTCGGGTCGGTATGTTGCTGCTCAATAGGCGCTATAGGGGTACCCTCCTTGGAAAAGCGCTACGCAGCGCCTGTTGGGTCACGGAATTCTGCTATGCCAGTCGTATCAATCCTACTCGTCTTTAGGGATTTATCAACTGCCTTAAGGAAGGTCTATGGATTTTTCTGCCAATCGCTAAATAACCCCTCAATTTTCAGTGTCAACCTCTTTCTTCCATCCTCAGCCCCTTGGGCGAATTTTACCTGAATTCACTACTCTCAGCGCAATCATGGTCCCTGTCATGGGCAAGCGTTTGACGAAGCATTTTCGGGCTTAATCGCTCTTACAATGGGTGCAGTTAAGCGGTGCACTATGGAGCAAATAAATTTCGTAACACCACCACCCCCCTCGCGCTCTCTCTATAGCTACCTTTGGAATTGTGGATTTCTATGACAACGACGTAACCCTTTTTCTCGGCGTCTTGCTCCCCATGCACATGCTCGACAATTTAAGGGCCATTTATTCCCACTGGACACACGCTGCGCCCCTATGAACCTCTCCTACACATTAGCTTTGAGTAGAGTTTGTCTTTACAACATTTACTAGTAATGACTGCTGTTTATAAAAAGTACCTATTCGTGAAGTGTTTGGCCCCCGCAGCCATCAAATGTTTTTTGATAGACAAAGCAAGCTGTATGAAGTTCGTGGGCACTTTTTACGTAGTGAGGAGAGGAGAAGTGGGGTGGAGGGAGGAGTGTTTTTGCACTAATAAAACTGCCAATCAATCTCACTGCAGCATGTTTTCTCAACGAGTTCTACAACTTTTTTTTTATAACCGCTTACTACACAGTTGCCTAGAAAACAGTATTTGTTGACGAATCCCCAGAAATTTGATATACCACTAAATCTTTTCCGCAGCCCTCGGGCAGGTCGTGCTGACGCCGCTAGTTTGCCGATTTCCCTGGTCGAATCTGCGGACATCGTAAATTCTGCCGAATTTGGGAGCTTTGAGTCAGACTCTAGAATTGTTCACTAAGCGGGACAGCTGGCGCCCACCTCTGGCTCCTTCCGCCCATCTTCGTGTGTTACGGGTTGGCCGTATTACCTATAAGGACTACTACGCTCGCTACTTCTCCAACACTCTTCTGGGGTTCATTTTCGTTTCTTCTCTTCATCTCTCGCATTCTCACTTCATTGAATCTAGGTTTTTTCCCTTAAATTTTATCATTCATCGCCACTAAGTTGTCTAGTAACTGCTAATGCCTAATTCTTCCCTTCTCCCATTCCTTTCCTGCCCGTCGCCTTTCTTTATTTAGTTTTTTTTTTTGACTGGAATGCCTGCTTCCTTTTGGGACAAGTGTTATCTACGTATATGAAGGGGCGCTCAGAGAAGCAGTCAGGTCCTGCGGCAACACAAAGAGTTTTCAATAAAAAGTATCAGTAATCACTGACTAGCAGAGCGTTGTGATAGTCCAGTGGACATAACAGGAGTAGATATAGCTCTAGAAGGAGTGAGACCTTGAAGGCACGAGCGCGATGGCAGGGGGAGGGGTTGCTGCCAACGTCATTGGTGGGAGGGGGACGGGGGGGAGGGTGTGCCCAAAAGCCCTCCCGCAGCCTTCCACCAATGGCATTAGGGCAACCTCCCGCCTCCAGCCTCGTGCGTACTGCCTTTAAGCACCGCCAAAATGACCTTGAAATAAATCTTACTAATTATTGTATATAACTGTCGTCAAATTTAGCTAATGATAAAAGATAGAAGTGATTTCCTTCGATGGAGCTGAATCAGTGAGAGGATACTTTCCAGAAATATTGGCCTTTCTAAGTGATGACCACCTTTTTCAAAGCGTCCAGAAGAGGGCACACCACGGGTACGGTTCTCCAACGCTAGACGGTCCTATTCTGGCCGATGATGTCTCTCAGTTGTATATACTGTAGAACATTGGTAGATTGTTCTTTTTCCACCCTCGCTACTGCCCCCACTGCCCCCACCTCCTTTGGGAGAAGTCGCACTTGAGGACCCCGATTTAGAAGTGTTATACATTCTAGTTGAAGGTATCAAACATTCTAGAGCATATGCCCCCCCCCCTATTCAAAATCTAGGCCAAATTTTGACGGGAAAATATACCCAGCGGAAGATATTTCAAAAACGCTGCATCCGGAGAGGCTCGCACCTCCTGAAAAAGAATAGCGCATCCGATCAAAGCGAGATCGCCTGACTCCCCCACCGCGATTGTGGGGGTCACGTAGCAGGTACCAGGCTTTTTCATGTCAAGCAAATGTGATATTCGAGCTGGGGAGTAAACTGCCGCTTGGGTGCTTTGGGGTCGAACATCAAGTGGTTTTAAGCACACCGGATATGGTATTCATGTTGAGGGGTCAAACTACCCCTGGGAACGGAATTTCAGCCTGCTCTACCGCAGCGCAAAGTTTCATTCAAAATGTGGTCTTCAATTGGAAGAGTGGGACAATAGTAGCTACATTGGTAAAAAGATAATTTGTAATGAAATGTAACCCTAGTCCCTACACTGACAGTGACGTACAGAGGCAGGTCAATCCAGAACCCATGAATCAACAGCTGAGTTGGGAATATCGATTACTGCCGATTGACGATGTTCGCATACTCGTGTGCACGAACCTCCCAACTGTCCCTGGAAATTTTTGTGCCTGTACAAGTTGCATATACAGTCTTGTTCGCTGCGTATGAAGGGGCGTGTAAGTTTTGGCGCGACTCCAAACGCGTTTTCCACCAATTGTTGAAGCGAGCAGAGACAAGACTGTATCATATCGTTTGCATTAGTCGTTTTCCACTAAATGTCCGCTTCAAGGACTGATGGGGAACGGATTTGGCGCCGCCGCGCCAAATCCATCTTGCCGGAAACGCCCCTTCTTCCGCGACGAATCACACTATATGCAGCAAAAAGTCTTTTTTTTCACCACTTCCTCATACATACTTTTCCCATGAAATTTCGCGATTTATCAGCAGCAGTGGGTGAAATTGGTGCTTCATGCGTTCCGCGACAGATCTTTGATTTCAAACTGCGTGTTCCGTTGCCATGACGTTACTGGCATGTCGTAGAAAATTGATTCACCCATAATAACAACGAAATATTCGTTTAAAATACGTGTTCACATTTCTTGTACTAGTATTTGTTATCACCATCTATTTCTAAACATCAAGCTTATCACGTGCTTTACTAGAAAAGATGCGTGAAATTGTTCACATTCAAGCAGGCCAGTGCGGTAATCAAATCGGAGCTAAGGTGAGGTTAAGGCGTTTCCCCTTTAGATCATGCTTCATGTTTTCGGTTTCAGTTTTGGGTGAGAGTAATTTCGGTAATGAACGATGGAATTGAGCGACGTGGTATTTATAATGTGATTTCGATTCTTTCAATTGGGATGAGGATCAATGTTTACCTACCAATGAAGTACAGTAGGTAAGTACTCAATTTCCCACACATTTTACATCTTGCCACTGCCGTCACTGGTTTCTTTACTATTTACTTATTTTACCAGTTTAGCTGATTGTTTACTGGTTCACCATAAAGCGCTTCAAATGATTGTGAAATTTGAAGGGGTTATTTTGCCTTGGCAGTACATTACGGAAAGCCGTGAGTGACGTATTGGTAGGTGGTACAATATGTACTCGCGGAAGCATTGTCTGGTGATCTCGAACCTGGTACAATGGATTCTGTTCGCCATGCTGGACAACTATTTCGTCCGGATAACTTTTGTTTGGTGAGTTCACTGGTGATATGAATTGGGCTGAAATGGCAACATCCCGGCGGGTTTTAACCCCTGACGAGCAGCGCCACACAAACAAGGCCCATTCCGTTGATCAACCCCTTTGCGAGATGCCGCACGCATTCTACTTCTAAATCGTAGCGGCTCACTGAATTGCGATGTGACCTACAGAATGACTTGCAGGGGCCAGCCAGTGAATAAGGCAGTGTTGTTATCCTCCTAGGGAAATCTGTTACCCAGTTATCGTTCCCGGAATGAGGTCCGTCTCGCCTGGAGTCAATCCGTGATTTCACTGCTGGTCCGCGCGCGTGGGAAGTGTGCCATGCCACTACATCACCTCAGTTTTGAGGAGCAGCCCGAGGATACAGATTCTTTAAAATTTTGGAGATTTAGTTTTCTCTTCAAATGCCGTTTTTACGGCGTTCATTTTAAGTCTTCTCATGAACGCCATAGCCGTTAACTGGTAGGCAAAAAAGTACCAAAAAGTATCAAATTTTGCAAGTCCTAAAAGTTTTCGGTTGCCACAAGAACACTCCTGAAAACTGTCGCTTGAGGTAGCATCCAAGAGAGTAACGTATTTTCACGGTCCTGAAGTACTATTTACCAATTAGCACGGCTGGTTAGCACCCACTGTTGGTAGTAATCACGCCCTGGTCCAACTCATTCCTTAATTACTATATAATGCGTGATGTGAGAGTTAATTGCCAGGCCAGAGGTGATGCTCTCGCGCGCAGTCGAGAGTGAAATCTCGGCTCGGCGCCTACCATATGAAACTATACCCACTATCCTCTAGGGTCGGATAAATGATATCAGGCTCGTCAGGTAAGGATAAAAATACTGAATCAAGTAGCGGCTGGATCCGCAAGTCATTTTGTGGACCATATCGCCGTCAATAAGTCTTTACGATCCTAAATGGAATTAGAATGCCTGGCGCATTCCAGAAGGATTTCACCAACGCCGAGCTTTATCCTTTATCACTTTATGATTCTTTGGGGTGTAATAACAGAGCGGTAGAGATGTCAAGTCCGACGTCATCCAATTACAGTCCAATCATATCTCTCGTATCCCCCATTGGCCATCCCTATAGTAACTGCTTCATAAAAACAAATATCATTTTAGCTTAAGCAGTTGAATTTTGAAAACTCCGATCTCTGAAGGTGTTAGGTGACCGCTTTGCCCTCTATCTGGGCCAATTGCAATAGTCACCTTTGACGTTTTATTCTCGGTTTGATTACTTCCTATTGTTTGCAGGTCAATCGGGCGCTGGCAACAATTGGGCCAAAGGCCATTATACTGAAGGCGCCGAGCTGGTCGATAACGTCCTAGACGTCGTGAGAAAAGAGGCTGAAAGCTGTGATTGTCT